CACAGATACCATTTATCTCAAATGGGTTTTTCACCAACGTGAGTGTGAGAAACCTTATTCTTGCGAGGGCATGTATTTTGAGAAAGAAGACTAATACCATATTTGACTATATTGAGGAATCTGTTTACAGTTGCTTTACAAATTACTGTTACGATTCACCAAGAGTTTTGCGCAGCCTAATACGTTTGTTTGTTATTTAACTCCACACTCAGCAATATTCCAGCTATATGACGGTATGACGGTTGTCTGTAAAATAATCGCGTTTGGACCAGACAATCCAGTGATTGACATCGTGACCATCGATTCTACGCAATTGGGATACGATGACATGCATCAACCATGTCAGCCAACCTGACCACCCGATCCCGTTAGTCGCCTCTTACTACAAGCATAGTCGCCTTTCACGGCAAGCATGGGTTGCTGAAGACCAATTCTCTACCCGGATCGCATCGTGCTATGTGCCATGATGGGAATTGTGTGTTGTTTAACGCTGCACTCAGCAACATTCCAGTATTAGATGGCGGTCTGTATGTATTTGAGTCTGGAACAGACAATCCAGCCGCCAATTGCAAGAATATAACTGAATGCGCTTTTATAAGAACCCACACTCTGTGATGATGGAATATGCCTCTGAATTTGGTTTTCACGTATTGTCATGTAATGTACCGCGATGTTAATATCGAGACATTTATCGTTGAAGCTTTGGACACCTCGTCGTTAGACAGTCAAAAACTGTACATGGAACAGTTTAATTTCTTCATGAATGTTGACATTTTACAAATGGTACGTTTCAGGACAATCAAAAGACACAGGCCTCAGGATCCCTCATTGTATAAAAATCAGGTGTGTATTACTGTTTAATACGCAGTCCGTGGCATCATAATGTCATAACTCAAATCACAATTAATATCTACTAGTATTAAAGGGTGCAAGGGTTGTCCAGTCCGCAGAGCTGCGTCCCATGGGAACACGAGAAACATATGTTTGTGGGTTCGAATCCCGGTTCGCCTCGATTATGTTTGTCAGCACCATACTAGTGCTCGTGGGTTTCAGCAAAGTTGTAAACGTCTTTAACCTGATTCGGGCCTTCCTTCCACATTAAGCTGACACACCGTGATATAACTGGTATACTGTTAAAAGCGGCACAAACCCCAACCCACTGTTATAGTCATTGCACATGCATGTAATTTAATGCAAAACGTATTAATCGATTTCCACTTTGGTGCCTGTATCAAATATATTTCCATCAAGTAAGTACACTTTGCAATGGGACATCCGCTGTGAACACATAGTTACGATCTATTATTACACACCCGTATTTCTAGCAGTAGAGCTGTGTCACCCGGGGCAACTAAGCCATAGAGAAATCCATTGAATCCTACCCACTGCTATCTAGCCCACGTTGGTATGACTGTATAACCTGCACGATTTGCCGTTATTTTCGCGCCTGTGTAATCAATTCAACCATTTTAAATTGGCAGGTTTGGCAGATCATCCTACTTAATCCACTCTTTTTTTAATTAGAAGGCCTTGAAAGTTTTCATTCTCCTTCATACGAATGACTATGTTTATATAGGTAACACAAATATTTACAAATGAATTTAGCCTGTTCATTTAAGATGTAAATAATCAATTTTATTTTTTTCTGTATTTTTCCCCGACCTACTTACCAACGAAAAATAACAAGTAACCCTAAGTTGTAAATATCAAACATCAAGCAACCGCATTCGTCGGCACACAAAGTACCATATAAATCTTTCTTACAAACACAGGGGGGGGCGTCTCAAAAATGTAAATGTGCACATTGAGCAAACATCGTCCAAAATGCAAGCATTGTTTTTTTTTCATGGCAGAAGCAGAGGTTGATGATATGCTATACATGTAATTTGTTTTTCTCGTCAAAACTGTAACCGGTTGTGATTACTTGAAAAACTTGAACATCATTTTTTAAGAGTTTGACATGGCCACTGATCTCTGTTGTAAAATACGTCAATATTAAGCAAGTCTAGGTGTCTCCAGGCAAGCACAAAGGAATCCTCTTGAGACGATTAAGCTACACACAATGACATTCGGTCAGGTAGTCACACAGGGCTCCACGCAGTGTTCTTGTCTTGATGGGGGTGAATATGAACATCAATTATCCTTAGCAATCATGGTTTAATGAGAGCTCTTCACAACGTGCGGTCTTGGGAGATTTCTCACTCTTCCGAAACAACATTTCTTGTTTGGCCCAATGCTTTGTTTGTTGTTTAACGCCGCAGTCAGCAATATTCAAGCTGTATGACGGCGATCTGTAAATAACCGAGTCTGGACCAGATTATCCAGTGAGCGTCGATCCACGCAATCAGGATACGATGTCGTGCATCAACCAAGTCAGCAGCCGGACCACCCGATCCCGTTAGTCGCCTTTTGCGGCAAGCAGGAAGACCTATTCTAACCCGGATCTTCACGGGTGTGGTGCAAAGGTTTCAAGTTTGCTTTGAAACAAAAGGAATGGTTCAGTGACCTATATTTATTATTTGAATAGCACTTCAATCAAGACGAGAATTTAAAGTTCATAAATAGTGCAGCTGGACGATTGGGTGTAAACGTAATTAATTACAGTTATGATTAAACTGAACACGTTTGAACATGGGCGTATTCAGTATTCCGACTACTCAAAAAATTCCTCTTGACATATAATGTTGAAACTTCAGTACACTTGCGTATTCATTATATCGATTGTGTGTCAGAATGAAAAAAAATGGAAGTGAATAATTAAATAGAATCAGCCACTATTCGCTTTAAAGGTTGGTGAATCTAGGTTTTCACTAAACCCGTAAACATGCCCTGATTTAGCGTAAGTACTGGTCGAGAAGGAGGTCAATCAATAAGACGTAGCATGTCATGAAAAGAGTAATCTTTCAAATTAAATGCCAAAATCGTTGTGTGTATGTGTGCGTGCGCGTGGGTCCAGCTAAATAGATCGTTTGAAATACAGTTGCATAAGAAAAAGCTATCATTGCTCCCTGATATAGTCTGCGTCCTCAGTTGGTTCACGTTTTTTTCCAGGAAGTCTGTATACACCTGCACGCGGATACACTCACGTGCAGTCCCAGACAGATGGCATCTGGCAAACTCGCTCAATTATTAATACACCTGTCCAGGTATCGACCTTGAAAGTGAACGACCTTTCAAATATTAATTTATCAAATCAACCCAACTCAACATGCAATGAGTGAGGACTCCCGAAAACTTAAATAGGATGGCATTGTCTTACAGTGGCCTAGTTCGAGCTTTATTTAAAGAACATGACATATGAAATAGAATTCTCATTTAAGTTTCATGTAATGATTAGGCCATACCTATTTCATTACATACTTGTTTTTGACGGATCTCTCATTTTTTACCTTCAACTGAGGCGAAAGGATAAATTCCAATGTGTGGGTCTGGATTATTCACGAAAAAACGCGATAACAGACACGATGCAATAAATAGCTTAGTAATTTTCTATATTTTAAAAAGTAACTATTATCTTTCTTCCCATCCTGTTTTGGGGTATTTGGGGATAAATCTGTCTAAAACTGGTAATTAAACTGGTCTTTACCTGGGAATAGATAACGATGTAAACACGTTCTCAATACGTTTGATTAATTACTGACGGCAGATAAACTAGGTACGTATTATCCATATATGACTACCACATAAATTACATCAACAAATATCCTCACATTGTATCAAGTTTGATTATCAAAAGTTTGGATAAAAAGCGGCAGTGTTTCTTAAATTAAATAAAAAATCAGCAACCGATAAAATTCTAAAATGGTTTCCTTTTCATCATGAATTCCTCAGTGGCACTTCATTTCAAGACAATTTACAAACATATTCATGACAAGAATGGTGAGACCAATATTAGTTCTAATAATATTAATACTGATTGTAAGACAAAACTAGTATTTCATTAAAACCCGCCCTCAATACATAATAATCATTGTTGTAGTTATAATGATAATTAATCATTATTTTGTCGGCTATGCACTCAGATATCTATAAGTACACCGAAGGTGTGTATTTTTCTTGGATGCGGCAACGAAGTCATAACAGTATCGACAAAAGAAACACGACACTTTCAACTCAGCGTCAGACGTGTCAAACAATGAATGGTACTTGTTGACACTATTAAAGCTCACTGTATGTCCCGCAGTCTTAGGTGACATTCCTTAGGTTACATTAGACAGACGTACCACGCCTGCGATAGTCAGTGTTACAGTCCTACCTTGCCACCCCACCCCCCAACACACATGACTTTACTGAACCCTGGGGCAATCAATCGTGATCATAACAGTTAGGTGTTTATGAGATATTTGCATGTTATGTAATTTAAGACCTGTTTAAACACTTACTGGTTTCTCGCAAATTACAATACAAAAAAATGGCATTATAAATTTACCACACACCTCAAAAGATATGTTTAAATCAAACCATATGAGTAAATGTCAGTTTACGTCAATATTATTCCAAGCAGGCTTTGTCCGATGATGTCTACAAACGTGTTCGTGACGGACATTGAAGCCATATCGGAATAAAATCGATTTTTAAAATGAGTAATCTTGGACGGAAATGTGGCAACAAATGTATCGTACATGTACAAACATTTCACGCTACTAATGCCTTGAATCTGAGATAAGAAGTACAAATCACTTACCCAGACGCTAAAATAATGACGGGTAGGCAATACAACCGCCAGCAAGATAAGTCATGTTATTCATTGAACTAAGAATAACCTCTGACCTCGTCACCTAGGAGAGGTGACACAGTATAAACGGAGCTGTTGTGTTTTGTTTTGTATTCTCGTATCAATTCTAAGGAGCAGCAAATTTTGCACATACTGTTTTTTCTTTTACAAGTTTTTCTTTACTTATTTCCATTTTTGTTACCGTTTTACCGATTCTTTTCAAATTTAGATTCGAAACTTGTCATATCTGACAACTTCGTACGTAAATGCATTTCCGGTTATTTACTTCCGCATGGAAAGTGACTTCGTGTTTGCAAGAAGCATAACAAAGAATGCGGTGACATCTGACCTAAAAATATCGATCGAGGCATTTTAGTGGACGGATAAAATATCTTGGTTGTGAATGTGCAAAACAAACCCATGGAACGATGTATCGTATGTGTGATTAGATGATACATTCCAAAGGATTCCACACCTGTTTTGACACTAATTTTCATCGCCATTGATCTGTCAGTTGGAACTGAAGTGTCGAAGGAGACTGGATATATATTTATTGTATGGGTGCATGCGCACATGTGACGTGATGAATCCCTTTTCTCCACAGTAGCAAGATTCGATATAGACATGTACTTATCTGATCACATAACAAAAAGAAGCACTTGAATGTCACTTAAACTGAAGAAACCTTGCTTTACTAGTCGTCCTGCTAGTCACACCTCTTGAAGATAAGGCATTACTCGCTCGTGATAATGGATCCATGTGCAGTTGTTCAGAAGAAACTTGCCTCTGATGAAAAATGTTTGATTGTATCTTTTCGGATAATGGCATGCAAATGAGCATGCCAAGTCAGCTGTTCACCTAGATATTACAGTAAATACCCATCTCTTGCAGTTGCACATCAAAAGGCATGGTCATATATAATTTACAATACATATATGTATTTGAAATTCTCATATTTTGGATTGAGTGGATATAGCTGCTGTAATTTTCCATTTGTCAGTTGTTTGTTTAATATAATTTTTCTGTATGTCATTACTGGGGCTGCAGATCCTGTTAGAAAAGGCTGCCTGTTTGTGCTATAGAGTTTACAGAGCATTTTTAAACTTCCGATTGTTACAGCATGTACAAATCATAAAATATTTTTAAAATATACATGCCAATATGCTCCAGGGTGCAGGCTAAAACATCACCGTTTTCTTTGGCTAAAACGGCACCTCATTTGTCATAAACAGCTACCAATTGTCCGGCAAAAACGGCACCCCTATTTTTAATAACGATTTTTGTGGTCATATATATGCTATATTTACATTTAGTAGTATATATGTTTTCCTTGGGCGGGGACACCGCCTGTTATCCGAAGAAACATTCTTGTGATGCGATAGGGGAGATATATATGAAATATCTATAAAATTACTATTTATTTCCTACTTACTGAAATAATTATTAAATACATAGCATACCTGTAGTCCATTTTCTTGACATTTCCACCAGACTCAGTTTCAGCTTGACATTGAGTTAATTTGAGTAAAGGTACTTAAAACTGCAAAGCATGTGCTGTTTAAACGATAAGTTTAGTTGCGCCTCCCAATCAGAATCAGTGAGAAAACTGGAGTAGAGGCTAATATCTAATGTAAAATTGTTTTAAGGCAATTATCATTTCACAATTTTTTGTGTTTGCAAGTAACCATGTGAGTTAAATTTAATTTATTTTACATCAAAGCATGTAATAAGTTTAGTTGCGCTTCCAAATCAGAGTTGCCGAGTTGAGGCTAGTTTCTAACTTTTTTAACATTTCACAGTTTTTTGTGTTTGCCAGTGACCATGTGAGTTTAATTTCATGTATTTCAGTACCAAGGTAAATTTTTTTATTAAGGTGCCATTTTGCCGATGCCGTTTCGTTAAGGTGCCGTTTTAGCTATAACCCAATGCTAGACATGCTTCCATTAAATCCAACTTTAACACTGTTAACAAGCCATCTTTTTACTTTTATCTGTAACTTTTGAGTTAGCAAGACTATCAACGTCACATTAATCCACACAGGTGTCACACATTGTATCTTCATGTTAAAGCTTGTGAATGATGCCATACATGTCTACATACTGTAAATCTTGAAATGAATGCATCTCCAAATGAATGCGACTGCTGGCCCTTAGCCAAAAATGCTACTCAATAAGAATGCGACTCCCCCCCCCCCCCCCCCCCCCACCCCAGTCTTAATGGTGATAGTCATTTTGAGATATAAATGCGATTTTTAATCAGTGCGAGCAAAGACCACTCACATTTTTCCCATTTATTTAATTCACATTCTCACTAATTTCAAGATTTGGGAGATATTGAGTGTTAGATGGAAAGGAATTAAATTTTCTAGCATCAAATACTCAACATGCTCAATAACAATAACATGCAAATTTATTTGGGTATGGCCAATTAATCTTTTAATTTATGGAAGCATGAACACAAGAAATAGTTGCTTGGTTAGCCAATCAAAAGTCATGGAATCACTTGCAATTTGTTTATTGATTAATAACCAAATGTGACTATCTACAATTTTACTTCATGGTAAGAATGTTACCGGTAAAACATTATGAATATTTTGGTCATGTTGAGATGATGTCACTGCTACTGATCCCATCCTTGACAACATTCAGTGCACAGAGACTTCCTTGCTGTTGGACTATGGGAAATCTCCCAGATACCTGGCTGTGGTGGAGAAACAAGATGATCATGTGTAAGGAGGATGTGATTCTTTCATTTTTGTCTCCACTGCACCTAGAGCATGCCTTGTGCAGGCTGCAGTGAACATTTGACTGCAGCAGATAGAGTACTTTGCTGAAAAATTTAAACAAAAAGACCAGGATCTGATATGGGGCAGTAGGTAACGGTGGTTCAAGCGATTCCCGACAAGGGTACAATGTGTGAAGCCCATTTCTGGTGTCCCCTGCCATGATAATGCTGGAATATTGCTAAAAGCGGCGTAAAACCACACTCACTCACTCACTCACTCACTCACACACTCTCACTCACTCACTCACTCACTCACTCACTCACTCACTCACTCATCTTTTAGTACAGTACATCAGCACACTTTTTTTGTAATATGTTGGCCAATCCCCAATCTCATTAAAACCAGATCTTAGTTCTCGCTTTCGCTAAACAAAGATCTGAGGACATCCCATTATGGATCACGTCAGAACGACCTTTCATCTAACCAATCAAACTTCGCTTACCAGATCAGGAAAGTGACAGTTGGAATGTGTTTTCTAATCATGCACCATGAAATATTTAACACGGGGTATTTCGAACGACAGTTACGGGTTTTATGATTATATCCATACAATCTAGGCCATCTATAAGCCATTCCAGAACGTTCTTCTTATCAGTTTTAAAAATTTATGTAAAAATATGTTCCGAAGTGTAGTCGCCAGTTTGAAACTCGTGTCGTAAAGCTCGAGAAAGCTGCCTTCTGATTGGCTAATGTCAATTTCTTGACAGTCATTTCATTGGACGGTCAAAATTCGCGAAAGGTCGTTCTGACGTGACCCTAAATGGGCTGTCCTCAGATCTTTGTTTAGCGGTAGCGAAAACTAAGATCTGATTTTAATGAGATTGGCCAATCCCACCCCTCACTCCTTGCAGATTGAAAATTTTATGTCTTAACATTTATCTTCGTATGCTTACATTACGATGTCTGTTACAAAATGGCAGCCTTTCTTAATTTAAAAAAAAAATGAAATATCTTGCTTAGTACGGCATTGACAATCATATCACATTTTTTTCATAACTTTCTTTGCACATTATAATAAGTTTTAGGCAATGCACATTTCTGAACATATCAATAGGCATTAGTAATGCAAACCTTTAGTGTTGGTAGGTCACAGCTGAATGTTTATGTATGTAGTAGGTGTTGAACAAACTCTTTTTCTAAGCCTCCAAGGGGGCACGGGTGGCCCAGTCGTCTAAGGCGCCGCAATTCGCTGTGCAGAGTTGCGTCCCTTGGGCACGCCAGAAACCTATGATTGTGGGTTCGAATCCCGGTTCGCCCCGATTATGTTTCTAGGTTTTTCAGCACCATACCCGTGCTCGTGGGTTTCACCGAAATGGTAAACGTCTGAGACCTGCATCATTTCGGGCTTTCCTCCTGCATTAAGCTGACACGTCGTGATATAACTGGAATGCTGTTAAAAGCGGCGTTAAACCCTACTCACTCACTCTAAGCCTCCAAGCTTCCACTTAGCCTCAGGACTATAATTATTAATGTCTGCATGTTTGGTCAAAATTATCAAGAAATCGCCACAAGGACATAAAGTCTCATCACAAGTTTTCTTATTTTAGCCCCAAGAGTAAGATGAGTAATATGATTAGTCATCATTTTCCATAATTCTTACTGGAATATATGTGCATATAAATTAGTGACGAACAGGGATTTGATTGGCTAATGTATATACAGTGAAGACTGTCGATCTGAAGAGGACAAACAGGATGTAAACGTGAACATCATGCAAAATAAAAGTAATACTCTGGCAATCATCATGATCATTATAATTGCCCATTATGATCATGAAAATAAAATTATCATACATTGTATATGACACTACCCTAACATGCCTACAGCAATAAGATATTCACCTGATAAAGCGGTAAGGATACCGGTATACTCCGAAATGTTGTGTTCCTCATGATAAAGAAGTTGACATCCATAAATTCTCTTCCTGTGTATCCCTTCTAAATGACTTTCAAAGACTTGATATGTAGACATTACTTTTGTCTTTTTGAAAACTATGTCTGGGAGATGGGTTCTTGTTACCTCAGGCTAGTATTTATCTGAAAGCTATCAATCTATAAAACTATGTAGACATGGTAGACATAACTTTTGTCTTATTGAATAGTATGAATGGGAGATGGTTCTTATTACCTTTGGGCAAGTATTTATCATGATTGATCTGAAGGCTATAACTGAAACTACTCATATTTTGTATATCCCTGGACCCAAATATATATTACTTGCTGTTCCATTATGATATGAATATGTGTATTAATGTTACACCATGATACTAACATTCACTCTTACAGTTAGGGCTCAAACCATGCTAACATTCACTCTTACAGTTAGGGCTCAAACCATGCTAACATTCACTCTTACAGTTAGGGCTCTAACCATGCCAACATTCACTCTTACGGTTAGGGCTCTAACCATGCTAACCTTCACTCTCACAGTTAGGGCTCTAACCATGCCAACAGTCACTCTCACAGTTAGGGCTCTAACTATGCCAACATTCACTCTTACAGTTAGGGCTCTAACCATGCCAATATACACTCTCACACTTAGGGCTCTAACCATGCTAACATTCACTCTCACAGTTAGGGCTCTAACCATGCCAACAGTCACTCTCACAGTTAGGGCTCTAACTATGCCAACATTCACTCTTACAGTTAGGGCTCTAACCATGCTAAAAATGGTATCGATATACCATAGATACAATAAGTTCTGATAATAATATCCTGATACAATACACAGTAAAAACTTTGAGCTTTGCCATGTTAAGGGAATGGTAAGAGATCAAAGGAAAACATTGTTAGCATGTTTACTAAACATGATTCATGCAGCGACCAGTTACTGAATAATGTCTACAAAAACGATACAAGAGATGATAAAGTTCTGTTAACTGTATTTTGAGGTGAGAGAGGGTAAGGAAGGATGCTTGTTACATCCTTTAGGATGCAGGGCACTTGTAAGATCTTCAGGGGTTCCTGAGAATATTTAAGTATGCCAGCAAAAATTACACATTTGATCCATCTTTGAATATTATTTCAGAACGAGTGAGCAATATTCTCGCAGATGTAATTTAGAAAGTTTATCTCCTTCCTATTCACTGAGATTGATAATATTCATTTCAGTCTCTGTATTCTAGGGTTTATTTTGTGAATCTTACAGTATGTGTTCCTATGCCCATAAGGGGTGGTGGGGTACCACAGAGGTTAAAGCGTTCCCTCATCATGCTGAAGGTCTGGGCACGAGTCCCAACATGGGCTCAATGTGTGAAGCCAATGTCTGGTGTCCCCTGTCCTGATATTGCTGGAATAGTATTTAATGTGGTGTAAAAGCACGCTCACTCACTAACTCATTTTCCATGTGTTTTTCCAGTATTGTGGGAAGCTACGTTTAACGTTTAAGTTTGTTATAGCAAAATATGATTTCCCCAGACTGTCTCTAGAAATGCCATTATGATTTAACTTGCAATTAGCATTCTAATACATAAATGTCAAATCCTGGTTGTAATTTCTAATGCTGCCAGTGACATTAGAGATTCCGCATCAGACAATACTTCAGGTAAGGAAGAGAATTTATGGATGTCAACTTCTTTATCATGACATTTCAGTTGATATCCATAAATTCTCTTGCTTATGTGTATCACTTCTTAATGCCTTTCAAAGACTCAGTACTTCAGGTGGTAGAATACCCAGGTTGTCATGGTTATGAAGGAGTACCATAACTAGTCTGCATGGTTAGGAGCCTGTAAGGTCAGAGGGCAAAGTTATCATGGTACTATGGTTTAGCAGAAGTAATACCGGTATTTATGTCTCAATCTTGTGACACATGATATGTCAGGGTGACCACAGCCCTGCGGTTGTGCAACATTAGTTAGTGTTTGAGGAGAGGTCTGATCAATATTCTCCCGAACAGGCTGAAGAATAGTGATTCATCAAAGCCAAATATAAGGATCTGGCATCCTGGCTTACAATGAGATCAGTAGCACCATACCTCAGAGATGTGTACTTCACACAGCAGTGTTCCAAGTTAAGGCAGTCCTGGGTCCTTGAGGTTTGCTTATGTATTTTTTGAATCCAGGTACCGACCGCCTCCGTGGTCTAGTGGTAGAGCGTCCGCCCGGAGAGCGGAAGGTCCAGGGTTCGGTCCCGGGCCGCGTCATACAAAAAGACGTTAAAAAATTGTACTTGTTGTTACCCTGTCTGGCGCTCGGCATTAAGGGGCTAAAACAAGGACTGGTCGGCTCGGAGTCAGTATACTGTGTCTGAGTGGGGTATTCATGTTAATCCAGGTACCCCCTAAATTTTGCATATATGAAGTATGGTAATGACATTGACCACTAGACTTTCATGCTTAATTTCAAACACTGTATAGTGACTCTCATTCTGTTCAGATAAGACTCCATCATGAGCATATCTATGCCTAAATTAAGCCATGAGGTCACTATGCTGTTTATTCTGTATATGACTCCAACCACATAAAGATGGCACAGTGTGACTATTCTGGTGCTGACCAAACACAGATTGAGGGGTTGTGAAAATATCAGCAAGTTATTTTAAAATAAATAAATTTATGCTTTAAAAAGGGGGAATATGACATACCCCTGCATCTCCCCTCTGGACCCATATATAAGACCTTACTCAAAAAGTATTCAAAGCAACTTTTAACATTTCCACCCAACTCACTCACTTCCTTTCATTATCATGATCATATCTGTACACAAGTTAGACCATGAGTTCACCGACCCATGAAGATCCAGGGTAGAATAGTTCTTCAGCAACCCATTCTTGCCGTAAAAGGCGACTATGCTTGTCATAAGAGGCGACTAATGGGATCGGGTGGTCAGGCTGGCTGACTTGGTTGATGCATGTCATTGATCCCAATTGCGTGGATCGATGCTCATGATATCAATCACTGGATTGTCTGGTACAGAATCGATTATTTACACAGACCGCCGTCATATAGCTGGAATAATGCTGAGCGTGGCGTTAAACAACAAACAAACATGAGTTCACCAATCTGTTCATCATGTATAGCTTCCACCCACAGTCAGCTGACGCCAGTCTGACCCAGGGGGGAGGACCCGTGAAGATTCCAGGGTAGAATAGGTCTTCAGCAACCCATGCTTGCCGTAAAAGGCGACTATGCTTGTCATTAGAGGCGACTAATGGGATCGGGTGGTCAGGCTGGCTGACTTGGTTGATGCATGTCATCGATCCCAATTGTGTGGATCGATGCTCATGATATTAATCACTGGACTGTCTGGTCCATACTGGATTATTTACAGACCGCCGTCATAAAGCTGGAATATTGCTGAGTGCGGCGTTAAACTACAAACCAACCGTCCAAACAACCCGGAGGGGGGCAACCAACTCTTGCTTTCTTTAATCCCACTGGAATCACCTGTTCTATTTAATGTATTCAGTAATCAGTTTTACAATGTTTGTATGTCATCGTCTTGTAACTGTAAAGACACTTAAAGTATCTCTCTGTTAGTGTTGACTATCTTCACCTATTCAGGATCTGGTTCATACTTTGGAGAAGGAAGCCCAAATGCTTTTGTTTAATTGTTTAATCCTTTTCAGGATATTTTTATTCACGACAAGTCGGGTTCCTGTTCTGAGTCCTGGGGATCTAACTGTTGATCAAGTTCTACCCGTCGACTCAGACCTTGGCTGTTTTTTAGGTGAGATTTGTTTGTTATTTAATGCAGTATTCAGCATTCCCAGCTCTATGGTGGCAGCCTGTAAATAGTCAAGTCTGGGCCAGACAATCCAGTGATGTATAGAATGAGCAGTGATCCATGTGACTTGGGTACGATTGAATGCAATGAACCAAGTCACCAAGCCTGAGCATGCGATACCCTGAGTTGGCTCTTCTAAATGTCATTATGTTTCATGTTTGTCAGCACAATACCCATGGTTGTGTGTTTCGACAAAGTGTTGAGCGTCTAAGACCTGTATCACTACAGCTTGGGTTGTATTCTGGCCCTTCATCCGCTTCTCAAAGGGGACAACTTTTCTCAAAAACTATTGAAGTCAGAGAAATGAAATTTTACACCCTGATGTTACTGGTCATGATCTCAAATGAGTTCGAAACTTGGTGTCGTAAATTCATTTTTTACGGAGTCGTAACCCTTGCTCCGTGCTTTTCAACATAGTTTGTGTGTGTGTTAGTGTGTGTGTGTGTGGGTGGGGATGCGTATGTGTGTGTTAGTGTGTGTGGGTGTGGGTTGGGGTGCGTATGTGGGTGTATGTGTGTGTGGGTGGGGATGCGTGTGTGGGTGTGTGGGGGTGCATATGTGTGTGTTAGTGTGTGGGTGTGGGTGGGGGTGCGTATGTGTGTGTGGGTGTGTATGTGGGTGGTAATGTGTGGGTGGGTGTTAGTGTTAGAATGTGTGTGTTAGTGTTTGTGTGTTAGTGTGTGTGTGTGTGTGTTAGTGTAAGTGTGTGTGTGGTGTGTGGTAATGGGTGGGTGGGTGTTAGTGTGAGTGTGTGTGTTAGTGTGTTTGGTAATGTGTGCGTTGCTGTGTTTCCAGGACTGTATTGAAGCAGTTATAGATCTATCTAGACCTGCTCAAGGTCGGATATTGTCTCCATACCTCCAGAAAATGTCAGTAAAAGATACCAAATTGGAATTATAAAATACAGTAAAGAAGTTGACATCCATTAATTCTCTTCCTTATGTGTATCGCTTTTAAATGCCTTTCAAAGACAAGGAATTATAAACTTCTCAATTCATCTAATACAGTAAACTACAGTTATAATGAATTCAAAGGGACCACTAATTATACCCACAACCTTTTAGGTCGGGGGTATATAAGTTATACCAAGGTTCCGTCCGTCTGTCTGTGTCACTCCGAAAACTTTGTCCACGCGATTTCTCTTGAAGTATTCAGTAGATTCATCTCAAACTTAGTACATATAATCTTTGTCATATGGAGGGGTGCAGTCAAAAGAAAAAAATTGTTTTATTAATTTTCCATTTTTTAATGAATTTTTCAAACCCTAACCCTATCCATTATTTAATTTGAAACTACTGACACACTAGGCGGGTCAGGGTATTGGTGAGCCATGCTCACTTTTGCCCTTGTTTAAGTTGGGTTATAGCCGTAGTTCGTTATAAGCATATATATAGCATAAAAACTGCACATGGCCGGGTGAAAAAAAACAGTTTTTTATATCCGTCTGTTCGTTATAAGCGTTGTCGTTATAAACATAGTTTACTGTAACTCATAACTAAGTTTAAGTTTTTGTAGACGTTTCACATATCATTATGCATATTTCACTGATAACAGGGCCAATAAACATGATAAAGAGCAAGAGGTTTTAATGCTTAGGTTTTTATTATTTCATTGAATGGGACCTTGAAATACAATGTTGAAATAACTCTGACTTTAAGAAAATAAGACCTGAACAAATCCCAATTTTAAACCAAATAATGCGATTTTTCCCAAATTGATTGCCAGAGGGACTTAGTTCAGAAACCCAGATACAGCCCTGGACCCACAAAACAGAAATAATCAGATTCAGTGACCGTGAAATGCAAGGGCGTTCAGGTTACAGAACATAAATCTGCAATAGCTGGAAGATATAATATACTAGTATATATATATATTGATATGTGCAGTGATAATGTGGTAAAAATATTGGTACCATGGTTACTGGTTTGAGGCAGATTGTTACATTGGTTGCACATGCACTGACGAGGGGAGTGTATTGCCATCAGTATAATGTCAGCTGTGTCAGGGTGACCTGTGACAGATAGGGAGATTCTTGAGAGCATGTACACACATGCTGATTGATATGATGATATGATGATATGGTTGATTGTATTCGGCCAGGTGAAGGCAGTGACCTGAGTCAGGGTCGAACGTCGAAGTAATAGGTAAAGAACCTTTGATTGTGCAGACAGTCGTACTCTTATCGCAGGGCATGAAAGATGTAATCATATGTGCTTGAATTAAGAAATCTTGATCAACTAGTTTGATTTTGGAGGTCTGTTGACATTGAGTAGCATGTCACGTATCAGAATATCATGGACAATTACTGTGTATTCTGTGTTGATCTCCAGATGCTAATTTGGGCCGAATCTGTTGTCTGTCTGTCTGTCCGTCTGTCCCCTCTCTATCTCTCTCTCCCCCTCTCTCTCTCTCTCTCCCTCTCTCTCTCTCATTCAAATCAATATATTGTTTGCCTTTCATTTGGATGTTGATCTCCAGATGCTCATTTGGGCCGAATCTGTTGTCTGTCTGTCTGTCTGTCTGTCTGTCCCCCCTCTCTCTCTCTCTCTCTCTCTCTCTCTCTCTCTCTCTCTCATTCAAATCAATATATTGCTTGCCTTTCATTTGGATGTTGATCTCCAGATGCTCATTTGGGCCGAATCTGTTGTCTGTCTGTCTGTCTGTCTGTCCCCTCTCTCTCTCTCTCTCTCTCTCTCTCTCTCTCTCTCTCTCTCTCTCATTCAAATCAATATATTGCTTGCCTTTCATTTGGATGGCCCAATACTTCGTACAAATGTTGCACTTGCAATGAAAAACGTCATTATTACTGATTTTCTCATGTTTAGACAGTTTCTGCATTTTTTCAGGTGGCAGCTGTTCATGTGTGAAATGATTTGTATTGCAACATTTGGGCAGGCTGCTTCAAATTATTTTAGTATTATTATAACTTCTGGGATAGTTTTACTGACTACTGTGGTGTTACACATTTACATACCTACTGACCTGTTACTGTGATTTGTAGCACTTTAAGGAACCTGGGTGTCAATTGGTCCCCAGCAACCTATGCTTCTCAGGGACAACATATTTGTTGGGCTTGCTCCTTTTTAAACTTACTGGCCCTTCCCTGTACAAACTGGCCTTCAACTAAATGGTGGAAGCCGTGGAGTGGTCTAACCTGATATCGTGTAGCCACCTAGCGGAGCTCTGAACTCCTCACCCCTGAAACACCTTTTCCTGCACTCTGAGATTAAATCTGGGCTTCCATTTGCCTCAATCCGTTCTGATTTATGAGCAAATGTACACAACATTACAAAATGGCCAGTTCTCATTCTTCCAAGATGATCGACATATCTTTCATCCCCCTCAATATTTTCTCATCAAAACTACATGATTTACGAGCAGTGTCCAAATAAAAACATTAAAGGTACATGGAGACATTTTGACCATCTACGTTACATTTGAGCAAGCCCTTTGTAAATTTAACTGGCCATGGGCCAACTGGCCAGCAGTTAAATTGACCCCTTTTTTTGTACTAGGTGACTGGATGGTCTCTGAGATTCTGTTAAATGTATGTCATTGTACCCTGACATAAAGGGGCGTTGCTCATAATATCAACCATTGGGTTGTCCGGTCATATTTCTATGCTATGTTTAACTACAACCAAAGACATTTAGACAATTTTCTTGAAGCATTTGTGGAGTAGTGTCTATGCTGGATATTGTAGCTGTATTTGAGTACTCTTTCTTTATGTCTTGGTATTTTCCTAGGTACAGAATTACTTTGGCAATCAGAAACCAGTAATACAGGGCTAGAATTCCATGGCAGGGAGTAATCAGACATATCAGTGGAACTGGTGACATCACCTTCCATCCATCTCAGGGGGGCGGGGCGGGGAGCCTAGTGGTTAAAGCGTTCGCTCGTCACGCCGAAGACCCGGGTTCGATTCCCGACATGGGTACAATGTTTGAAGCCCATTTCTGGTGTCCCCCTCCAAGATATTGCTGGAATATTGCTAAAAGCGGCGTAAAACCATACTCACTCACTCACTCCATCCATTTCAACCATGCCTTGAGAAATGACAGTTGATTGTCAGACCAGGGATATAAGTCAGTTGGTCCGAGGTTAAAGATAGCCTGGGTGCTAGAATTTTCAGCTTTCGAGGCAATGCTAGGTGATGGGTGTCTTTGTATGTTGCACGTATGAAGTGGCCTATTCATGAAGCCGTCCTTATGGTATGATTGTCGTAAAGCTGTCGTAGCGATAAGATCTTAGCTAAGTCTATACTTGAAGCGCTAAGTTATCATAAGCTTACGAATAAAATCAAGACAGGGTCAGACTTTGGGTCGGTAAGATGGCGGACAACAGATGGATTCAACAAAATGATTCAGCCGTATGATGAACAACAGGTCCTAGAAGACCTTCACAAACATCGCACTCACCACTGATGAAAGAGGATCTGTGATTTTTAACTTCAAGACTTGTTTGGCCGTTTTGGTTTTTAGATGCACAAGATATGCATAAATAATTATTTTCTGTTAAATAAAATCAGTATGAATATGTAATCGATTGGCATAGTGCCCAACTGTTTTTACTGGTCCATGTGATTTTCACTAGCCTTGGGAGAGCATTGTTATTGCAGGCTGCTGGATGAAATAATATCGTAAACAATATCAGTTGAATGATCTCACTGTCCAACATTTAGACAAGTTGTAGATTGTTCTTTCTGAGGTTAAGCAGTGCACTCCTATCGTCCGTTTCATTAACAAATTATTTTGGACATATTGCAAGATGCAGATGAATGAAAAGAACGTTGTATGATGAGCAACCCCATGTGTAGCAATGTTACGACATACTCACGATATATGAGTGACTTCCCACCAACTTGCGATCATCGCGACTGATTTACGTATCGTTATTTTTCACATTTACGTTTTCCTTCGACATCTGCCTTTCCAATTCTATGTATTAGTCTTCAATGTTTGCTATATCTATCCACAATGGACAACAGCTTCATGATGGTGGTCTTCATTGATCAATTATACATAACAGTAACATGAGGAAACTGAATCTGTCAAAAACATTGAAACCATCATTAATAATAACAACATTGATTTTCAACAGTGGTTTGATTGTTCATCTTAAAATCTTTTAAATATTTAAATGATTACATGAATTTTAATCTTGGGATTGCCCTGAATAATCGATGATGGCATTGGGAAACTCCAAGGTTATTGTAACTCTGTCACAAGAGAGCTCACTGACTTAGCTAAGCGTTGTGTCGTAAGTAAGATAGTGTTGCGATAGGTTGAAGCTTCAGAATAGGTCCAATGGCAATCACAGTTTTAGTTACATGTGTCTAAGAATTGTCTTAGCTAAGACAGCTTCATGAAAATGCCATCAGGCTTGTAGTTAATGTTATAGGTTGCATTGCATACCTGTTAGACTTTGCGTTTGATTGACACCTGCACTTTAACTAATCCTGTCTGGACCACGCAAATCAGTGACTGGAAGCAATGAGCAATAGGTCACACATGAGCTTGACCTCCCGATCTAGTTTAGTTGTCTCTCACACAAGTATAGCCTGACCTCCCAATCTAGTTTAGTTGTCTCTCACACAAGTATAGCCTGACCTCCCAATCTAGTTTAGTTGTCTCTTACATTACTATAGGTGACTGTGGAACAATTCTTCCTGGAATCTCCATATTTTGGTGAAAGATTTGAAAGATGTAATTTTCATAATGATGATGATTGTTTGTATTTTCAGATTCTTCAAATACTGCCAAATCCAGTGACCATCCTCAAGGTTTGTATTTAGAAAGTGATATATGATTATTAATGTACACTGATGTATTCATGGCAGTGTTCCAGCAATAAGCATGGTATTTATAACTATAATAAGAACTCATCTCACATGCCATGTTTAAGTAAGATGTTTATGCAAGAGGTGAGGTCAGGTGAGGTGAAATGGGGTTTAACGTTGCGTCCAAGATTATTGCACTCATATAGTGACATGCATGCACGTGTGTGTGTGTGGCTGCTTGTACTAGCCCGGACTGATGCCGGATTTATAGTGATAGCTCACTGAGATACCATGCCGCAGTTTAACATGAATACCCAACTCAGACACAGTATACAGTATACTGACACAGTATACTGACAGTCCTTATTTTAGCCCCTTAATGTCGAGCGCAAGACAAGGTAACAACAAGTACCATCTTTTAATGTCTTTTGGTATGACACGGCCGGGAATTAAACCCCAGACCACTTGACCACGGAGGTGGTCTGTTTATTCAAGAACCAAAGGGCTTGTACACAAGAACACACAAATAAGTGTGCCAGAAATATCTTTTCCTTAAATCTGAAGTGAAGTATTCAATCAGTGTAAATTAAGTTAATACTGGCTCAGGTCTTAGTTATTTTTTGTGTGTAATTCAACTCTTGAGCAAAAAGATCGGAATGCATTTTTGGCCCTTACCGAATCAATGCAGCTGATTTACCAAGATAATATCTTGGCCTGTGGTGGTCTAGTGGATAGAGTGTCTGCCTGGAGGGATGAGGGTCAGTGGTTCAAACCCTGGGCGTGTCATTTCCACCCCCACAAACCCCCTTCAATGTTTAAACTTAGGATTACTCTTGAACTTAGCTTGACTGTCACCAGAACTATATTAAAAATAATCAATTATGACAACAAAATTCTTTATACTTTCTAACAATAAATTTTTCAGCATTTCAATTACGGTTAAAATCCAACCAACACAACCTGCTTCTGGAGTTGCCTCAACAACAATCAACAAGAGATCTCCTCGGGGAAATAAAGAGTGCAAAGGACTGTAAGCAGATTTCATTTCTATTTTCCCATTCCAATGATTACTTTAGTTTTTTCCCTACTTGCTTCCCGACATGTTCAATTTTATTCACGATTTCAGATTTTATGCAATATGTTCAATTAGTTCATAAGCCATATGCCAATCTTGCATTTATTCCATTACATTTCATTGATATGCTACAACAGATACTGTTTATGCTGATGCTGGTTACCATGGTTACAGCAAAACATGTTTTGTTTCAGTGTACACCCAGAATGCAGGATTCGGTTCTCCACCGACCTTCAGCTGGCTGAGCAAGTATTGCAGTCGGAGCAGTGGAACAACTAACCCTTTCCAAGATGACGTGTTTGACCCTCTGGCACACATGAATCTCACCAGCAATGGTGTAGGACAGACAGGTATGTGGTGACACCGTGTGACCATCTTCCCATGGCACAGGGAGTTCACTGACTGTAAAAGTCCAGTTTCTTCCCATGTATCTACGCAATACATATGAATTGGTGCGGGGGATATAGAAACGGGCTCCGTCCATCCGTTATGTTTCGTTTTGGGAGCATAACTCAGAAACCGTTCAATATTTTTTCAAGAAACTTTGCAGGTCTGTCAAGTACATGCTGAACTGGTGCCTTTTGCTATTAAGAAATTTAAGAAATTTGTATTTCTTACGTTTCCATGCCAACAAGATGGACTTTGGTTCTGTGAGGGTAGGGTTCATTTCCGGAGTATAACTCATAAACCGTTCAATATTTTTTCATGAAACTATGCAGGTCTGTCAGGTACATGCTGAACTGGTGCCTTTTGCTATTTAGAATTTTTAGAAATTTTTATATTTTAAGTTTACATGGCAACAAAATGAACTTAGGTTCTGTGAGGGTAGGGTTCATTTCCGGAGTATACCTCATAAACCGTTCAATATTTTTGCATGAAACTTTGCAGGTTTGTCAGGTACATGCTGAACTGGTGCCTTTTGCTATTTAGAAATTTTAGACATTTATATTTTTTACGTTTCCATGGCAACAAGATGGACTTAGGTTCCAAACTCTTCTTTTTTTTACAATTTCCATGACAAGTTCCACCTCAGTTAAAAAAGGTTAGGGTTTGTTTAGATTTTATTATGTCATAAATTCTGCAACAGGGGCGGGGGATATAGCCACGTTAGTGGCAAACTCTTGTTTGTTCCTAAAATACTGTAGCTTAAAAAAGTAATAAGAAGTCAAAATGTAATTTTGTCACCCATAAGGTCCTATATTTCATGGTTGGTCACACATGTCTTTACGGGTCTCCACATATAAAACAGTGTGGTAAAACATAGGTTGGTAGTGATGTTGTTTAAGGCAGGAGTGTGTGAAGCAATATTTCCACTCTATCACTGTGGCCTCTAACTAAACAAGTTTGTGTGTTTGTTGTTTAAACCACAGTAAGCACAAAGCAATATTCCACCTATATCACCCCGTAAATAATAAAATCTAGACCAGACAAACCAGTGATTAATATTTTGTTGGGGGTACGATGAAGCACAATCAACTAAGTCGCCATGTCTGACAAGTTGCCCCATGAAACCATCTGATGACTAGCATAGTTTGCTGGGAAGCAGTTCTAAGCCAGGCTCTTCAACAGGGGCACCTCTTTATTGACATTTGATGTGAAGGATTTGTAAATAAATGTGACGAAACCCTTTCCAAAATCATTAGAAATCTCCATTGTTCAGTTCTGACTATATCTGAAACATGTGTTTTTGAATCACTATGAAATAGAGAGACCAGGTTTTCGCTAAATGGTGAGCTTATCCTGCCCCACTGGTGGCACCCATCATAAACACATGCAAAGGCAAGTCAATTGTTCACCTGAAAAAACATGGGATCATATGGGACAAGTCAAAATGGGTGAATAGCATTCAACATTATTTTTCTGACTGATGCATCAAATTTGGAAATGTCCTCCACATGTCTACCATATAACATTTTGAAAGCTTTACTTAGAGCTTGAATGTTGTAACCCTGGGCCCCGTTCCACAAAGTAATGTTAGTGCTACAACGATCGTGAGCCTTTGATAAAGCATAGGAGTTAAGATCACTAGTTTTGAATAAGAGTCATATGGCACTCTTTAAGATCTACGTAGAGAGACCATGTCACCATGTCTGACAACCCGACCCTCAGAGTCGCCTCATGACTAGCATCGGCTACTGGGGACCTGTTTTGTTTTAAGCTGGAATCTACCACAGGGACACACAAGTGACTCCCTCACCCCATTTATTCACAAATGATGTGAAGGATTTTAGACATCATTTTGTTTCAGTGAATGTTGCAACTGCTGAAAAACAAGGTTTTGACGACGACTTCAGCAACATGCTGACTCTGAATGCTTCCAATCTGGCCATCAGCCAGAGCAGGGAGTCGCTTGACATGCTGGACCGGGACGAGGATGAGCCTGATACGGTCTACAACATTCAGAAGCAGCTGGGGATCGGCTACGGCCTGGATCTGCCGGTCGGACAGAAATCTGTGACAACCAGGGAGGTGTTCGTGAAGCGCTACATGGCACAGAGAGAGGTGGAGTTCACCAATATAGAGAAACTGAGGTGAGAAGCTGATCATAGTTGACTCATTTAGTTTATGTCCTTGAGGGACATAGTTGAAATTTTCAACAGGAATGTTTAAAAAATATATTTGAAAATCTAGAAATAGGAAAAGTCTGACCTAATTATTATTATTATTATTATTAAACCACAGGTATCTAGGTACTAGTATCATCGTTAAGTATATGATAAACTATTCTACATTCATGTAGAAAGTAATATATGTGAATTAGTGAATGGATTACCTTCATGCAGTCAGTAAACTGTCTGTGTGTGTTTATCTGTGTCTGCCTGTCTGCCTGTCTGTCTGTCTGTCTGTCTGTGTGAGAGTGAGTAAGAGTGAACGAGCAAGATTGTATACCTTCATTTATAACATATGTACAAAGCGATGCATTCAAGTGATCAACATTGATTAATCTTTTGTAATAATATCGCTTTTCAATAATAATATCGCAATCAGTGTCTAAAGATTCAGTGAAGTATTTGAAAGTAAATTTTCTATTTCGTCCTATATTTGAATGAATTTCAGCCCTACCTGCAGGTATATTGCAGCCTTAGTCTACCTCCTTATTTCCAGGGTGTTTTGTGGCACGTGGAATGTAAACGGACAGTCCCCAAAGGAGTCCCTCAAGGAATGGCTGGCGATGGATGACGAACCTCCGGATATATATGCTATAGGGTATACCATTAAATGTTTATGTAACATTATATCATAATGAACATTTGTATGCATGGATGATGCTTTTACCATTATTTACTTCATGTAAGATTTCATGTCGGAGTTCTGAAGAGAGACATTTTACAGGGTCCTCTCTCCATGTTAGATTTCATGTCAGGGTTCTAAAGGGAGACATTTTACAGGGCCCTCTCTCCATGTTAGATTTCATGTTGGGGTTGTGAAGGGAGACATTTTACAGGGTCCTCTCTCCATGTTAGATTTCATGTTGGGGTTGTGGAGGGAGACATTTTACAGGGCCCTCTCTCCATGTTAGATTTCATGTCAGGGTTCTAAAGGGAGACATTCTACAGGGTCCTCTCTCCATGTTAGATTTCATGTTGGGGTTGTGGAGGGAGACATTTTACAGGGCCCTCTCTCCATGCTAGATTTCATGTCGGAGTTCTGAAGGTAGACATTTTACAGGGCCCTCTCTCCATGTTAGATTTCATGTTGGGGTCGTGGAGGGAGACATTTTACAGGGCCCTCTCTCCATGTTAGATTTCATGTTGGGGTCGTGGAGGGAGACATTTTACAGGGCCCTCTCTCCATGTTAGATTTCATGTTTGGGCTGTGAAGGTAGACATTTTACAGGGCCCTCTCTCCATGTTAGATTTCATGTTGGGGTCGTGGAGGGAGACATTTTACAGGGCCCTCTCTCCATGTTAGATTTCATGTTGGGGTCGTGGAGGGAGACATTTTACAGGGCCCTCTCTCCATGTTAGATTTCATGTTTGGGCTGTGAAGGGAGACATTTTACAGGGCCCTCTCTCCATGTTAGATTTCATGTTGGGGTCGTGGAGGGAGACATTTTACAGGGCCCTCTCTCCATGTTAGATTTCATGTTGGGGTCGTGGAGGGAGACATTTTACAGGGTCCTCTCTCCATGTTAGATTTCATGTTGGGGTTGTGAAGGGAGACATTTTACAGGGCCCTCTCTCCATGTTAGATTTCATGTTGGGGCTGTGAAGGTAGACATTTTACAGGGCCCTCTCTCCATGTTAGATTTCATGTTGGGGTTGTGAAGGGAGACATTTTACAGGGCCCTCTCTCCATGTTAGATTTCATGTTGGGGTTGTGAAGGGAGACATTTTACAGGGCCCTCTCTCCATGTTAGATTTCATGTTGGGGTTGTGAAGGGAGACATTTTACAGGGCCCTCTCTCCATGTTAGATTTCATGTTGGGGTCGTGGAGGGAGACATTTTACAGGGCCCTCTCTCCATGTTAGATTTCATGTTGGGGTTGTGAAGGGAGACATTTTACAGGGCCCTCTCTCCATGTTAGATTTCATGTCAGGGTTCTAAAGGGAGACATTTTACAGGGTCCTCTCTCCATGTAAGATTTCATGTTGGGGTTCTAAAGGGAGACATTTTACAGGGTCCTCTCTCCATGTAAGATTTCATGTTGGGGTTGTGAAGGGAGACATTTTACAGGGTCCTCTCTCCATGTTAGATTTCATGTCAGGGTTGTGAAGGGAGACATTTAACAGGGCCCTATCTCCATGTTTGATTTTATGTCAGGGTTCTAAAGGGAGACATTTTACAGGGTCCTCTCTCCATGTTAGATTTCATGTAAGGGTTGTGAAGGGAGACATTTTACAGGTCCTCTCTCCATCTTAGATTTCAGGAACTAGATCTGAGTAAGGAGGCATTTATATTCACGGACTCTGCGAGGGAAGCAGAATGGCAAAAAGCTGTGAAGAACTATCTCCACCCTAAGGCAAGGTATCGGAAAGTAGGTTCTGTCAGACATTCCCATTCTAGTTCGACACTCTGCAAATTCGTTTGTTGTACAAGCCAATGAAGAGGAGGAACAAGTGCTAACCTCAGTGGCATTGATTGTTGCTCGTGTAGCAGATCAGTAGCTTGCCTGACCCCATTTGATTATCCTTTTACCTTCTTTGACTTTTCAATTTGTGTTTGTTCATCGAAGTATGAACCTTCATAGGTTGTGGGCCAAACTGAAGGGATGTCAGAACTCGGTACCTCGAACGATTTTTTGTTTACCCTGACAATTTTCAACAACCGGCATTACTGCAGAAAAAAGTTGTCAATTACTGTTTACAATGTTTACAAAAAAACTGACTTAAGGATTAAGTTGTCTAAATGACCAAGGACATAGGTTCTGTATTTATTGGTGCTAGGGATTCCCAGGGTTTCCCCAGGAATGTGGAACTAGTTGAATAAAAATTCTATCAAGATTAATATCCTGGTGTCATTTGCAAGGCAAAGATTCCTATCAGCAGTAATATCACCATCTGTCTCTCTTAATAACAACTTAGCACAGGATCGCTCATGAACATAATGAGTGTAATCTGATTGGACAGCTATTTTTAGCGGCATGTCTTTCGGATACTGTTCAAAATCAACAGTGATAGCAAAAGGGTCCAGGGTCCATCATTGAGATATAATACACTGGATAATTGAGGATGGCTTGCCCAAATTATATCATTTACAGGCCTCAGGGAAACAGTTGGAACACTGATAGGCTAAAAAAAAATAGTCTTGGTTCTCAGGCACCGTCCGCATCATCATAAAGTCTGCGGCATGTTTTGTTTTTATTTCCATTTTTAAAAAAATATAAAAATCCTAATACTTAAAAACAATGTGATCCAGTATAGCACAAAGTTACTTCCCTTTACATGTGCACTGCTTTACTGCACATCTCGTGTTATGGTCATGGTGGCAATAGGAGTTTGTATACTTGTTTATGTAGGGAGGCCCTTTCCCATGTTGATGGTACACAACTGTTTATCTCATTATATACTAGGTTGAACAAGGCAACAAAAAAAACACACCGCCCGTCCACACTATATTTTCAAAAGTCATTGCCTCAGAACCAATTCTTTTATTTTTTTAAGCCTGTACACAACATTTACAGATTCACAATGCCAATTTGCTTAATTAATTCATTAGTAGAAATTATTTTGATCATGATGTTGGTAAGCGCCTTACAAAATTCAGGTTGTAAAGTTATTGATCTGTCTGTGAAAATGACAATGGTAGAGCTGAAAAAACTACTTAGATACTGGCATTGAAAAATGGTTGAGTTTCTCTTTGCATGATTGGAAGAAAAAGTAACAGCACTTCCTGGCTTATCACAATGATTTCTTACATATATATAATTTACTATTGCCATATATTGAATAATTTTATTTGATTTTCCTTGATGTTATTAATGGGTTATTTTATTTCTGTCTCATGAAGGTGAAGTCGTGTCGACTTGTTGGGATATTGCTGATCATCTATATACAGGAGAAACACAAGCCAAACTTACACTTCCTAGATTCAGACCAGGTTGCCACGGGGATCATGGGAATCATGGTTAGTTACGCATAGCAACCGATCAGATCATCAAATATGAGTATTGATTGAAAATAATCAGTGAAAGAGGGATTTTGGTGGTATGAAGATTCCGGAAAAGATCTGAGTTAGATTTGGTCTTTAGCAATCCATGCTTGTCTTTAGTGGTGACTAACAAGATTGTGTGGTCAGGCTTGCTGACTAGGTTCATGCAAGGTATGGTATCCCAATTGTGTTTGTTGATGCTCATGATGTTAATCACTGGATTGTCTGGTCAAGACTTGATTATTTACAGATTGTCATGTAGCTGGAACCATGCTGAGTGCGGCCTTCAGCAAACAAACAAAGATTAGTCCTTTAATTTAGAACAAACAAACAGACAAACTAAGATAAGTACATTAAGTTCGAACATTTAACTGCTGCATGTAATGGTTCAACAAAATTGACATGCACCTTGAATCATGTTTAAGCAGGTGCTTCATGGAAACAAAATAATGCTAGCATGTGTGGTGTGCTGTAAGTCACAGAATCAATGTGTGTATGAAATTATTTCAAGGAGTATCCCTTATTTAAGAGGAAGCATATAGTGGCAACTATTTTGGATTGGGTGGTCAGACTTCATAACATGGTCGATTGCACGTCATCACCTGATGGTGTGGGATGTTGTTCGTAATATTAACCGCTGCTAGTTATTTAAGAATTGACTTCAACATTTATTGTGTTGATAATCGCTTATTTAATCATAAACACAAAAACGATGTAAACAACAATACGAAATCAGTGACATTGTACCCCACTTTAATGCCCCTCAAGCCACGTCCGTTCTGTTATCAGCTGTTAGTCCATAGTGGGCGTAGCCTGAAGTAAAATAATTACTTGTTTGGCCAATCAAATGCCACGGAATCAATTACAGTTTATTATTTCAGGGTAACAAGGGAGGCGTCGGTATACGTATGAGTGTCCATAACACATCCTTCTGTTTCATCAACTCACATTTAGCCGCACACCAGGAAGAGTTTGAGAGGAGGAATCAGGTACGTGTTGTAAATGTTGAAAGTCATGTGCGCTTATATTGTAGCAGTTTGTGAAAGTCATGTGCGCTTCTATTGTAGCACTTTGTGAAAGTCATGTGAGCTTATATTGAAGCGGGGCGGTCGGGTAGCCTAGTGGTTAAAGCGTTCGCTCGTCATGCCGAAGACCCGGGTTCGAATCCCGACATGGGTACAATGTGTGAAGCCCATTTCTGGTGTCCCCCGCCGTGATATTGCTGGAATATTGCTAAAAGCGGCGTAAAATCATACTCACTCACTCATTATATTGTAGCACTTTGTGAAAGTCATGTGAGCTTATATCATAGCACTTTGTGAAAGTCATGTGAGCTTATATCATAGCACTTTGTGAAAGTCATGTGAGCTTATATTGTAGCACTTTGTGAAAGTCATGTGAGCGTATATCGTAGCACTTTGTGAAAGTCATGTGAGCTTATATCGTAGCACTTTGTGAAAGTCATGTGCACTTATATTGTAGCACTTTGTGAAAGTCATGTGAGCTTATATCGTAGCACTTTGTGAAAGTCATGTGAGCTTATATCATAGCACTTTGTGAAAGTCATGTGAGCTTATATTGTAGTGCTTTGTCCGTCCATCCAGTGATAAGTCTGTCAGTCTTTTTTTAACATTTTCGACATCACCTTTCGCACATCTATGAACATGGTGAAGCTGAGACTCTGTATGATGATCTCAGTGTGCTTCTACAGAATACTTGGCCACCATGGCAGCCATATTTACAGTGGTTGTCAGTGAGTATCCCTCGCGTATAAGCAAATGAGTATAACTGACTATACATTTTACGCTTATGTAAGTCATGAGGCTAAAAAAGCTTAAAAATAATAATATATTTTATTCCAGTAAGTTAAGAGCAAGGCTAGGGTCTCTGTCAAATTAGTGATCACCATTTGATTATGTCTTTCACTAATGGTTTTGATGTTTTTGTATACAGACTTTTCACAGGCTTGAAAATTGAATTTGTTGTCTGTTGAAAAATCCGTGAATTGAGGTTCTGTTGTGAAAAGGCCTAGAAAATAGATGATGTATCTTCAGAAACTCAATTTTCTACCCAAATTCCATTACAAATAAATTACTTAAAATAAATGTATTTTTTTCATGATTTCAAATCTGTACCAACAGGGGGCGGTTGGGTAGCCTTGTAGTTAAAGCGTTCGCTTGTCAAGCTGAAGACCTGGGTTCGATTCCTGACATGGGTACAATGTGTGAAGGCCATTTCTTAAATTTTGAAAAGATGATTTACTATTTTCCAGATAACTTTGTTTATCATATTGGTTCGAAAAAATCCAAATTGACCAACAAAATAACTTGGCCACGACAGCACTTGATATTATTAGTCATTTTCTACCACTCACAGTTACTACAAATAAATTAACAACAATCCCCCCTGCCACATAACAATTTATTACCAACAAATACCCTACATCAAGGCCATAAATTCCTGTTTAATCACTCTAAATGTCACTAAATAATCACACTAAATGTTTTTTTAAATATATTTTCAACACACCTCATATTCACTACCAAACATATCTTGACCCGTGAAGATTCCGGGGTAGAATAGGTCTTCAGCAACCCATACTTGCCGTAAAAGGCGACTATGCTTGTCGTAAAAGGCGACTAACGGGATCGGGTGGTCAGGCTCGCTGACTTGGTTGATACTTGTCATCGATCCCAATTGCGTGGATTGATGCTCATGATGCCAATCACTGGATTGTCTTGTCCAGACTCGATTATTTTACAGACCGCCGTCATATAGTTGGAATATTGCTGAGTGCGGCGTTAAACAACAAACAACCAAACCAACCAACAAACCAAACATATCTTATAGTTGTGAGGAAAGCCCTACCTACAACTGATTAATATGCCTCAAGAGTGATTAAAAATGGTTCAGATGAGAATTTTCAGTTTTACACCACTTTTATTAATATTCCAGCAATATCATGGCAGGTGACATTGTACCCATGTGGCGGGAATCAAACCAGGGTCTTCAGCCTGACAAGCTAACACTTTCACCCCTAGGCTAGCTACCCCATTGCCCCAGTGATTTGAAGATGAGAAATAGATTTAGAATATTTTTAATGTTTCGTCTGTGAACATTTCAGGATTATCGAGACATTGACTCCAAGATGAAATTCAAGCAATTTTCACCACCATTAACAATTAAAGAACATGAGTAAGTATCTATTTTGGCAATTGTTTGTCTGAAATCTTTAAAGTGATGATGATGCAAATAATGATGACAATTTATTAATTGACAAATAAATCAAGATTTAATGATTATCATAATACATTTCCTTGTGAAAGTATATCATTGACAAAGTGTTAACTCTTTATGTGTTTTTTATCCATTGTCTAATCTGCTAAAATGTCTTTTTATATATAATGTTTTCTTGTACATTTGTGAATTTTTGTTTTTAATTCTGTTTTGTACTGTATAGCTAATGTTCCTATGAAAATGTACTATAATCAAGATAATAACTAACATGTCTAACGTTAAGTAACGCTTCTTGAATCTTGTATAATCCAGATACGTTTGAGGAGCTGATTTTCACATTAGAATTTGTTTATAGAAAATGCCCTTTGTTTCAGCATCACCTTCTGGATAGGAGATCTGAACTACCGTATCCATGGCATGCCCATTGACGAAGTCAAGTACAATATCAGCAACGCCCTCTTTGGTAAACTGCTCCCACATGACCAGGTATGTTGGAGTTACCTCCCTTTCCTCACCCACACAGTGCCAGTGTTGATAAATAGAGGTTAACACGAGAGAGTGTTTGGGGATGGTAAATATCCTGCATTAAGAATAAACATTGTATTTAGCGAGCCTTGGTGAGCTAAATACATAGTGTTTATTCCTAATACAGTGTACACTAAGTCAGATGTACACACAGCGACAAAACGAAACAAGGTAACAATTCAAACATATTTCGGCAGAAATCCAACTATTTTAATTTGTGGAAAAGGTTTCAAGCCGCAGAGGTCTACAAGCACAGATCCCATACTGATCCCGCTTGGCTGGGCCTAGTGCCCTCGCTAAATTGTTTCAAAATATATATCTCCAATGTTACCCAAACTTATAAAATGCCTTAGCTACGTCACAGTTAGACACTGATTTTCAGTATATTGGACTGTTCTTTCAATAATGATAGCAATTATCCCTGTAGTTTATCCAGATTCCCGATGGTTAATTCTGACTCTATCGCCGAATGACAACGGCGACGCCATGTTTGTTTATAAACACTGGAAGAAGCCTTTTTGACGTTTGATATTTGCATCACTATCCGCATATGACCCCAATGGATATCGTTTTTATCTGTTGGCTTTATCCTGCCGAGAAACCTACCCATTACATGATAAACCACTTTATCCTCAGTAGTTCAAAAAATTCTTTGCAGAGGTAATAGTGTGTAGTGAAGAGAAACCCATTTGTCATCTTGATTAAATTTGTCCAAAATCTCCAAGATTTGAATCCAAGAAATCCTTTTGAATCTTTGTGACATGTCCGTGGCACTTTTTTCAACCTCTGTTGTGTGCCGTTTGCTTTGATATCATACTAGCCTTGAGACCCGTGAAGTTCCGGGGTAGAATAGTTCTTCAGCAATCCATGCTTGCCGTAAAAGGCGACTATGCTTGTCGTAAGAGGCGACTAATGGGATCGGGTGGTCAGGCTGGCTGATTTGGTTGATGCATGTCATCGTATCCCAATTGCTTGAATCAATGGATTGTCTGGTCCAGACTGGATTATTTACAGACCGCCGTCTGGAATATATTGCTGAGTGCGGGGTTAAACACCAAAGAAACAAACAAGCCTTGAATAAAAGATTTTGGAGATTTATTTGTAGTTATGACTTGTTTGGGAATGTCAAAATACATCCTGTGAAAGTTAAACATAAATAAACAGAGTTTTTATAAGACTAAAATTTAATTAAAATTTACATCAGGTTGCCAGGAGTATAAAAAACATTGCTATTGGTTGGTCTTTTCCCCTTTATTTCTAGGGGATCATACTCATTAAATATTTCTATGTAACTAAAATTTTGTTGTGACTAGCAAATACACAATGTAGTAATGTTTGAATTTTAAATTTAATATTTTTCTAAAATGAAAGAGCTAGTGGCAAAGTATGCTGTTTAATAGGCATTTCTTAGAAGCCATGATTTACGGTTTGAGAAGGTATATGTGTTATGCAGCATGTTTGATACGTTGTCTTATTATTTTCTAGCTGTACATGCAACTGGGCAAGTCGGATGTGTTCAGTGGCTATTCAGAAGGGGCCATTCATTTCACGCCAACGTACAAATATGACACTGGAACAGACAATTTTGACACAAGGTATGCACAGTGCTGTCACACATCTCACTACAGTCAAGTCTCGTTTATCCGACAATCGGCTCATCCGACACAAATGATGGGAACCGATTAAATCAGTGCTATTTAGACCCGTTAATCTGATAGTCTCGCACTCCGATTCCGACACACCTAATTTGCAACAAATTGCTGAAATTGCTCATTAATCAGTCTCTTTAATCCGACACAGTGATCAGCTTACTCCGTGGTCATCTGCCCGGAGTACATAACCCCGTGTTTTGATGCGAGACAAGTGGCGAGTAGCTGCATATTTAAACGGCTGCAAAGATTAATTTGCTTAACAATAAACAATTACTGCTTTAAATAAACAAAATAGGATTAATCACATGTCTAGATTACCTTAATCTCATTAAAATCGGGTACAAGTTCTCGCTACCGCTGAGAACATCCCATTACAGGACACGTCAGAAGGACCATTCGCGAACTTTGACCGACCAATGAAATTACTAACAGGAAATCAACATTAGCCACTAAGAAAGCAGCTTTCTAAGCATGTGGCAAATTGGCGACTTCCATTCCAGACTATGCTTCAAAAAGTATTTGAAATCAGTCATTCAGTCTGTAACAGTAGTTTTGTGTTAAACTTTAGAGGTTTCATGATTAGAAAACATATTCCGCGAACAATGTAACACAACAATATGAATATTTCCTTTTTCCTTTTTTATTACAACATGTTTGAATCGTTATCCAATTTTCGATCACGAACGTTGATAATACCTAATTTCGTTTATCTGACATACTCATAATCCAACATAATCATATGCAACCCACAATGTCGGATTAACAGGACTTGACTGTACAATGTTGTCTTACCAATGTGTTGTCACATATCTCACTACAATATTGTCACCTTTCTCACTATGGTGTTGTCACCTTTCTCACTATGGTGTTGTCACCTTTCTCACTATGGTGTTGTCACCTTTCTCACTATGAGGTTGTCACCTTTCTCACTATGGTGTTGTCACATATCTCACTACTGTGTTGTCACATGTCTCACTATAATATTGTCACCTTTCTCACTATGGTGTAGTCACATGTCTCACTACAATATTGCCACCTTTCTCACAATGGTGTAGTCACGTCTCACTACAGTGCCGTCACATGTCTCACTACTGTGTTGTCACATGTCTTACCACAGTGTTGTCACATGTCTCACTACAGTGTTGTCACATGTCTTACCACAGTGTTGTCACATGTCTCACTACAGTGCCGTCACATGTCTTACCACAGTGTAGTCACGTCTCACTACAGTGCCGTCACATGTCTCACTACTGTGTTGTCACATGTCTTACCACAGTGTTGTCACATGTCTCACTACTGTGTTGTCACATGTCTTACCACAGTGTTGTCACATGTCTCACTACTGTGTTGTCACATGTCTTACCACAGTGTTGTCACATGTCTCACTACTGTGTTGTCACATGTCTTACCACAGTGTTGTCACATGTCTCACTACAGTGTTGTCACATGTCTTACCACAGTGTTGTCACATGTCTCACTACTGTGTTGTCACATGTCTTACCACAGTGTTGTCACATGTCTCACTACAGTGTTGTCACATGTCTCACTACTGTGTTGTCACATGTCTTACCACAGTGTTGTCACATGTCTCACTACTGTGTTGTCACATGTCTTACCACAGTGTTGTCACATGTCTCACTACAGTGTTGTCACATGTCTTACCACAGTGTTGTCACATGTCTCACTACTGTGTTGTCACATGTCTTACCACAGTGTTGTCACATGTCTTACCACAGTGTTGTCACATGTCTCACTATAGTGCCGTCACATGTCTCACTACTGTGTTGTCACATGTCTTACCACAGTGTTGTCACATGTCTCACTACAATATTGTCACCTTTCTCACTATGGTGTTGTCACATGTCTCACTACAGTGCCGTCACATGTCTCACTACTGTATTGTCACATATCTCACTACAGTGCCGTCACATGTCTTACCACAGTGTTGTCACATATCTCACTACAATATTGTCACCTTTCTCACTATGGTGTTGTCACATGTCTCACTACAATATTGTCACCTTTCTCACTATGGTGTTGTCACATGTCTCACTACAATATTGTCACCTTTCTCACTATGGTGTTGTCACATGTCTCACTACAGTGCCGTCACATGTCTCACTACTGTATTGTCACATATCTCACTACAGTGCCGTCACATGTCTTACCACAGTGTTGTCACATGTCTCACTACAATATTGTCACCTTTCTCACTATGGTGTTGTCACATGTCTCACTACAGTGCCGTCACATGTCTCACTACTGTATTGTCACATATCTCACTACAGTGCCGTCACATGTCTTACCACAGTGTTGTCACATGTCTCACTACAATATTGTCACCTTTCTCACTATGGTGTTGTCACATGTCTCACTACAGTGCCGTCACATGTCTCACTACTGTGTTGTCACATATCTCACTACAGTGCCGTCACATGTCTTACCACAGTGTTGTCACATGTCTCACTACAGTGCCGTCACATGTCTCACTACTGTGTTGTCACATATCTCACTACAGTGCCGTCACATGTCTTACCACAGTGTTGTCACATGTCTCACTACAGTGCCGTCACATGTCTCACTACTGTGTTGTCACATATCTCACTACAGTGCCGTCACATGTCTTACCACAGTGTTGTCACATGTCTCACTACTGTGTTGTCACATGTGTCATTCCTGAATGATTTTTATTTCATTGCCACAGAAGACTAAATTCAAACTATTGACACTGAGTTGATACTCTGGATTTAAATATCGGTGTCATTATATGTTGTATTTTACTTCCAGTGAGAAGAGTCGCATCCCAGCGTGGTGTGACAGAATACTGTGGAAGGGGAATGGGGTTCGACAGATACGGTACGACTCCCACCAGCAGCTCCGATTCAGTGACCACAAGCCAGTCAGCGCTCTCTTTGATGCTGGGGTAGGTTCCACCAACATTTGCCCTTCACCTTTCCTTCACTTAAATTACATTTTTCCCTTTAACGAACATTAATTGACAGGGAATGGATACATATATCATAAATGCCATACTTTGACTCGTTTAAAGTCATATTTGTTATAGTTTGACGATTCTATGTCAACACGTAGTTCTTGCGATCACGTGCAAGAGTGCCTTGACGGTGACTGGTCAGACTGGTTCCATGTGAAAAATTATTAACCGGCAATAGCGATCAGCTGCTTCGCTTAGGGTTATTAGGGGATAGAAAATAAACATACTTTGATTTCAATGTAGAACTAGTTTGCTGGTATTATTATTATTATTATTATTATTATTGTTGTTGTTGTTGTTGTTGTTATTAGAACTAGGTTGCCTGTATTATTATTATTATTATTATTATTATTATTATTATTATCATCATCATTATTATTGTTGTTGTTATTAGAACTAGGTTGCCTGTATTATTATTGTTGTTGTTGTTGTTGTTGTTGTTATTTTTTTTGTCGTAAGAGGCAACTAACAGACTATTGTCTGGTCCAGACTTGATTTTTTACAGACTGCCGTCACATAGCTTGAATATTACTGAGTGCGGCAATAACAAACAAACAAACAAATAAACAAATAATAGAGGAGTTTGGGGTTGGGGTGTGCCAAACGTGCACACTTCCCTCTTGATATTTGTATATGCTATGGACAAGCAACACGAGCGTAACAGTGGCCTGTTTCACCAGGATTCAACTGATTGAGGCATGAACGTAACAATGGCTTAGGTGATGACATAGGCAGAGATAAAATGTCCAGGCAAAACTCAGCAACACCCACACATCTGATAATGTTTATCAATATTGTAAAATGCAAATTGTCCATAGCATTTTTTCTTGTGAGACAGACATGGGGTGTGTGTTGCAAAGCATAGTCGCTTGCAAGCGATGTACAGAAATTCGCCTCACAACAGTGCACTCTCAAGATATTCTATTGTTACTGTCCTTTCCAAATGCTACAGTTGTCTCTCTAAACATAATATATAACATTACCAAGATCTTCATCCTCAAAGCATTGGAATAAAATATTTAAGGGGCTTTCAATGTGTGTCAGCTTCGTGTAAGTGACACTGGTCGGAGATAGTTTCCATGGTATGGTATGGACACCCATGAAGATCGGGGGTAGAATAGGTCTTCAGCAACCCATGCTTGCTGTAACAAGACGACTACGCTTGTCGTAAGAGGCGATTAACGGGATCGGGTGGTCATTGTATCCCAATTGCGTAGATCAATGGTCATGATGTCAATCACTGGATTGTCTGGTCCAGACTTGATTATTTACAGATCGCCTTCATATAGCTGGAATATTGCTGAGTGTAGCATTATACAACAAACAAACAAACAATTTTCTTTCAGATTAAATCCGCCTTGGGGCACTTATTGCTCCTTGGGGCACTTATTGCATTTTCCTTGCTCAAGAAAATCTACATGACATAGTTGTAACCATTTTCCTTAATGAAAAATGTTACCACACAAAAAACTTCATTTTTGTATGATATATGACCACCCTTACGGGGCCTCACCCTCCACGGCGCGTCACGCCAGGGGAAGCAACTCTCACCCAAATCACTTTCCTTATGTCATCTGTCTAAGACAGACGTGCCTGTTTTTTCAAGATAATCGTTCGACAAGAACCATGGCTGACCAAACTGTATGTATGGTACATTTCTTTCATTGCAAAGGCGTAATACCTCGCATTGTAAAGTTATAGAGTTGTAATTATACGCCAGGTGTACGGTACCTTTGAATTCAAATGGCCGTAATGTAGTGCCATGGTCTGATACATGTAACACCAAGGCCATTAAAAACGGCTTGGGTCTTTTGTTATATCATACGGCTTTGGTCTACAATTTTTTCCTTTACATAAACCCAAGGTGGTATGTCAATAATAATTAAACTACACTTACATTTTTTACGTTTTTTTTACACCTTTGCGAGTAACACGCCCACTTTGGTGTTATAATTATACTACGACATTGGCTATTAGTATCGCGTTACAAATCGCATTCTAAATTACGCCTTTGCTTCTAGTTTCACAATTTATGCACATATCTTTCCGATCTTTCAATCGCACTGATACACTTTAATACCCTTCCCGCCCACCTCAGAAATTACGGTCTTTTTTACAGACCTTCAAACTGTGTACGGGGTGTTCAGCATCTATTCCCCCCCAAAACCGACATGAAAGCTGCCTCAAATGTCTGGCGGAGGACGGGCATGCCCAGAGCCAGGTGGGTTCGCTTGAACCCCCGGCACCTCGGGACCGGGACTCGGCTTCGTGCCGGGTGCAGCCCGGGGATGTGAGGACCCAGGCCTTCGGGCGTCCCCTTCCGACTTCTTCTACCTTATCTCTCGGGTAAGAGTCGATTAACTTTGGCTCGGAATCGAGAGAGGAGGAGTGGATGGAGGAGGGGGGAGACGACTTGGAGACCTCGGGAACCTTTTCCTTCGCTTCCTCGTTGAGGCACGTGCGGGACAAGATTGTCCAGGTACTGCCTCAGGTGGTTGCGCCCATGCCCATGCCCGAGTTTCGCCTTCCGGGGGACGCTTTTGCTCCTAGCAAGGCAGATGATGTGCGCAGTCATGGGCATGCGCAGGCTGTGGATGTCGACTTCCACATGCCAGGACCTACTTGCTTTGCCATATAAGATGGAAAGAGAGGCAGGGGCCGGGGCAAGGCAGCTGGTCGAGGCCAGCAGCCTTTTCGCGGGGCCGGGAACCCATCGTTCCCATTAGCCCCCGAAGAGCCCCGGGTGGACCCACAGTCGCAAGTTATCGAACTGCCGACAGCTGGGGTCCACTGCCTCAAGCCGGATGTCCCCGTAGGCGGCCGACTGGCTCTATTCCTGAAGGAATGGTAGACAGTCACATCCAATCCCTGGATCCTGTCCACTCTAAGGGATGGCCATTTGCCTCGGTGGAAACATCATCTGCCCCCTTTCTCTGGGATAAAGCACACTCCGGTGCCTGCTACCTGAGAGAAGGCGGAATTCCTCCGTGCCGAGGTCGACGCACTTCTTATGAAGGCTGCGATCGAACCGGTTCCTGTGGGACAGGAAAGCGAGGGCTTCTACTCGACATATTTCCTAGTCACCAAAAAAGACGCTCAGTGATCTCAGCTGTCGAGACAGGAGAATGGCTAACGTCAATAGACCTAAAAGACGCCTATCTCCACATACCCATACACCCCGAGTTCAAGAAATACCTGAGGTTTTCTTTCAATGGGAGGTGTTATCAGTTCAGGGTTCTACCATTCGGGATATCCATGGCCCCGAGGGTGTTCACCAAGCTGAGTCAGATAGCTACACAAGAAGTGATAGACATTCTGATCACTCTAGGGTGGATAGTCAATCTCAAGAAGTCAGATCTGAGACCTACTCAGAATCTAGTCTTCCTAGGGGCGAATTTCAACACGGTGAGCGGACTTGTATCTCTGTCACAAGATGGCATTACCAAGGTCAGAAGTGTTACTTCCCAGTTCCTTCTGTCCGCAAGTCACACTGCTCATACATGGCTCCAGTTACTGGGCAACATGGTGGCGACAGTGGATGTGGTTTGGCAGGCACATCTGAGAATGAGACCCATTCAACAAGCGCTCCGTCGACTTTGGGTGAACTCGGAAGATCTTGAGACTGTTCTTGAGACTCTGCAGTGGCTCATTACACACCTTCAGTGGTGGACCGAGGTCGGGAATCTGTCCCAGGGGCTCCCCCTCGACTCTCCCGTTCCGTTTCTCACAGTTCAAACGAGGCGTCACTCTCCAGGTGGGGAGGCGTTCTGAACGATCACACTGCCTCGGGATTATGGTCCCAGCAGGAGATCAAACTGCATATCAAGGTGCTAGAACTGAGAGCGGTCAGGTTGGTGTTCCAACGCTTCCTGGATCTGCTTCGTGGCCAAGTGGTTCGTCTAGAGATGGACAACCAAACGGCGATGACTTACATCAGGAAGCAGGGGGGAACGGTGTCTCCGTCGCTTCTCCAAGAGACGTGGCAGTTCCTCCTATAGTGCAACTCACACGTTATCAGGGTGCTACCTGTTTATCTCCCGGGGTTGGACAACGTCTGTGCGGACGCTCTGTCTCGCCAGGTCCTCGCTCCTTACAAGTGGAGGCTCGACCCGGGGATATTCGGGATTATCTCCCAGTTATACGGGTCGTTCCAGGTGGATCTGTTTGCGTCTGGGGTGAATCACCAGACACCAACGTTCTGCTCCCGCGTCCCCGACCCAAGGTCGGTTAACACGAGACGCTTTCCAGCTAGATTGGACAGACAGAATTCTGTGGGCATTCCCCCCAGTACCTCTGATTTCCAAGGTCCTGTCTCAGCTAGCCACTCAGCCTGCGCGACTACTTGTGCTCCTGGCACCTCTTTGGTCGGCGCAGAGTTGGTTTCCAGTAATACTCAGGTTTCTGGCTCAGCCTCCTGTTCTATCCCAGGATTCAGTGGGTGGCTTGGCCACTGTCAGGAATCGCCTCCAGAAGAGCGGTATTCCTGCACGAGTTGCAGACACAATACTGGCTTCGCGGAGGGATTCGACAAACGTTCAGTACGAGGATAGATGGGCCTGCCATGCGCGCTGGTGTGTCGATAGAGGGATTGCAGATCCCTTTTCTGCAGATCTCGTAGCCGTGCTTGAGTCCCTCCAGTTGTGCCTATATGACAGCCTGGCCGCCACGACAGTCCGGGGGTACTCTACAGCTATCGCAGCTTTTCACGTCCCTGTCGACGGGGCACTTCTGGGTGCGCACCCATTAGTGCAGCGCTTTTTAGCAGGTGTGGACAGGATCCGACCGCCTTTCCGGCGGATCAGTCCCCCTTGGGACTTGTCAATCGTTCTTGATTGGCTGTCCGGTCCTTCCTTTCGGGATCTGTCGTCTCTCTCTCTTCAGCTGTTGAGCTGGAAGACGGCGTTCCTTGTGGCGGTAATGTCCGGCAGACG